AGTATGTCGGGTAGGTCTGTGCTTCTCCTGCTGCTTTGCTGATGGCTTTGGTTTCCTCTCCAGGCACGCTCTCTGTGGGAAAAGGACCCTTCTTAGCCCAGCCTATGTCTTCTCCTTGCTGAAGGTGATGCACCTAAATTGGGGACATGGGCCGTCTGTAGCTGCAGAGCAGGTTACACAGAAGTACCCACATGCACTCTGCAGCAGAGGTGGATTTTTTGGACACTGGATAACTTGTGTACAAACTGTGGGTGGGAGGGGTTCAGATATTCTTTTAGCTCTTCCCTGTACACGGTTGTTTCAGTAGTAGCGTGGGAGACGGGTATGGGACAGGTGAGAAGAATAGATCCACGCCAGCTAGGGAAGAAGTCCCTAGCTTGCTGGCACAATGATCCCAGTGGGGCATTAAATTTAAAAGCATTGTCTTTCACACGCAGCAATGAGAAGGTGGCAGCAGTAGAAAGGAAAACAAATTACTTTGTTCTGTTAAGCATTTTCATGGTGAGGCAAAAGCCTTGAGTACCTGGTGTGTTGCTCCATTTAAGGGAGCATCAGCTGCACCGTGCATTTTGGTTGTTTGGTTCCTTTATATACTTCACATTTTAGGCTCTTACAGATTTGACAAGTCAGAAAGAGTTTGTGCCCTCTTCTCCCCCACCCCACTGACCACACATTTAGAAAATTTATCATATGCGTCTTTTTCCTCTGGAAACACTCCAGTAGCTACAAAGGTCAATTATGGACTTGAATTCTACTGAATCTGGAGTCCTGTGGTCAGAGCTGGGACAGGCCCTGTGAAAGTCCCCAAGAGTGTGGAAGCTCAGATGACAGTGTTCTTACAGACTTGAATGCCAGGCTGCTTGCTCTGTTGTAGGTGTGAATTAGAAAATGGAAGGGTTCCCCCCGCCCCCATCTTCAAGTACATTACAGCAGTCCTAAACTGCAGGGTCTGACTACCCCAGACCATGTGATGTGACCACTCTTTAGTGGGTCTCTTGGAGCTGGCAGGGGAAAGGCAGTAGCTATATACTTACAAAAGGGCATATAGAATTACTCTCACTTGTGTTGCTTATCCCCTTCCCAAAAGTGCCTCAATCCCAGAAGTGTCCTCGAGTGGCCTGTACCGTAACAAAATATCTACCTTAGACCCATTCTTTCTTCACTTTATCTTTGTCTGCAGCACACCCTAGATCTGAAACACTGGAACAGCAAAGGACTGGCCCTACAAAAGGTGTGCAATAGCATGCTACGTAAGGAGCTGTCAGGGAAAAGGCTTTCAAGAGATGGTGCAACTTAAATTTCAGTTGTGCTTAATGCCAGGCTCTGCTCACTTGGGTGTTGTGGCCGGGAGCTGGGCAAGGTGTTTCTTCACCAAGCGTTCCTGGAGCAACAGGCTGGGAGCAAAGATTGAAACCCAGAATCCCTCTGTTGCTAAAAGCCCAAACCACGGACACAGAGCCATGTCTGCCCCTTGCAGCTGCGTGAGCATGGGATGGATTCCTGCCTCCCGAGTCCCTTAAACCTTAGAAGATGCAGGCTGTGGGGCTGCAGTTGGCACAGCAGTGCTGGGCTGCTCAGCCAGGGCAAAATCAGATGTACTGGGCACACACAGAAGCAGCTTGAAGACTGAAGCTTTTGGTCCTCATTGAGCTAGGTGGATGCTGAGTGGGAATTCTCAGGGTGATAATTTGGCTGCTGAAAAATCTTGAAAATAATCTAAAATACTAGGTCTGGCCCAATGAAACAAGAAAGCAACACTTCTCCAGCCTTCTGCCCAGTCAGCTGTGACTCATCAAGCAGCTGCCTGCTCCAAGTACTTACAAGTCTGAGCAGAAGCTCCTAGCATAGAGACAGATGATGCTGTGAAAGCATGTCCTCTGTTCAGTGTTGCACCTGGTTTTGGACACCACTTCCATCTGGAGGTAAAGTGCCTGTTGTGGTGTTTGCAGTTGGTTGTTCTTTTCCTAACCTGCCTTCTAGAGAGCAAATCGCTAATACAAGAATCCATCCTTGCTGGTGGTGAGGGCTTGGTGTGTTTTGTTGGTTTTTTGGTGGGTTTTTTGTGTTTTTTTTTTTTTTTTTTAATTGTGGCTGAGGGCTGTGCTTGGGCATCTGCAGCTCAAGGGAAGGTTGAAAGCCATAGTGCTGAGTGCTCTTGTATAGGGCAAGTTCTTCTGCCAGAATCCTCTTTCCTTCCTTTTCATGTAGCTCTGATCAGAGCTAGGCTAACACTTTGGACTGTATTTTTAAACTAATTAATGCTTTCTAATGGTCACAAATGAAAAATTTCATTAGTACTAATCAGGCGAGGTTCTGAAGTTTGGTCTTTTTTCATTTTAATGATTGTAGTAAACAAAATAATCTGAGGTCATAAGCCTTCCCTACATTTAATTTCAGCTACAGTGGTATGGCAGTACTAGCAAAGCCCTAGAAAGGTAGCTGTTGCTATTGTGGTAAAAAAATAGAAGCACTTCTGGCAGCATAGGCTCTTATTCATTGAACCAGAGCAAGATGATGCTACAGAATTTGAGCATGTAATTATTAGATTATTTTGCTGTGAAGGGAGGGGAGGGGTGGTAGAGGAGTGAACACAGCCCCCATAGAGCCCAAGTCTGCAGTAGAGTGTGTCATTCCCTGCATGAAACATACTGAAGCACAACTCATCTGTGTATGTGTACTCCCAACAGGAGCAAACACATACAATAGGAGTAATGTCTACTCCAAGGAGGTTACACAACAGGAGAAAGTGTTTCCCAGTGAGACATGGTGAAGTGAGGCACGTTATCTCCTGTACCTATTGAAGGCAGAAGCTGTGCATTACTTTAATTTGGCTTGAGTCTGCTTAATTTCAGCACTAGGAAGGTTACAAGAAGAGTATTGCTTTAACTCCATGTCTGTATCTATGCTTCAAAGTGTGAGCTCTGTATTGACATTAAAAAAAAAAAAAAGAGGGAAGAGGTGTTGTAAGATTTAAACCACCACTTCTTGACTCTGGTAGATCCAGCTCTCAGGTGCACAGGGAGCAGGGCCAGCTGTAGGCAACAGCACTCTGTTTGCATCTGCTGCAGTGATCGCTCCTGACTAGGGTACATGGCTGGGGTCAGCTGCAGTGTTACGAATACATCCAGGGGAACCACAACCCAACAGCGCTCCTGCCCACCTCCTTCAGTTAAATAACCTTATAACTTTTTTCCTACTTAGAGCTGACCCTCTCTCGGTCTCTTAGGTAGGCTGACTTGCTTCCTCCTAGCTCGAGGTCTATGGTTATGCTGTAGAAGTGGGGGAACTACAGTTAGCTTCCAGTGGAAGCTGCTTTTGATCTCCTTGCAGTATTTGCAGGGGAGGGAAGGAACACTATTGATTTGGACAGAACATGCTGCAGAGGATGCATCTTACTGCTGTACCTTTAGGGGGTCTTTCCCCATTTTTAACTTGCATTATAAGCTGTTATTCAAATGTAAAGCTAAAACCCACTCAGACCAAAAGAATGCCCCTTGATTTAAGTAGCAAAGGCTAATGGGACTGATGCTGTAGCATGTACATTAGGGGATATCTTCTACTAGGCTTCCGGTGGGTGTAAGCAGTTAGGGATGAATTTGCAGGGATTTTGGATTCTGTTCAAGAGACCTTGACTGGTCCTCAAGTCACCCATTGTCCAAGGAGCTAGTCATATTGTTCCTTTCAATATGCAAGTGCAGCCCTCTTGGGGAAAATTGTCTAAAGCTTCTTGTGCCATTTGGTTAATAAAAGTGTGTCCACCTTTAAAAGAAGGTTCTTTCCAGCTTCATTGTTTTACATTCAGTTGGAAGTGAAGGGGTATGTACATTTTTTTCCCCTCTGCTAATGGTAACACTACTGTAAGACCATGCCCACAGGTTGCACTTTAATAAATGGTACAGTTTTCAAAAACAATGTGTAGACTACTACTGTGCTTTCCTCTCTCCCCTCCCCCTTCTAGTGCAGGCACAAGAGAGAAAGAAAAAAACTGACTGCACAAAAAACATAACACACACAAAAATCCAGATGGAAACGGAAATTCTTAAGAGCTGTATTGCCATGAGAACTGACAATTTTATTTAAGTTAAAAAAACCCCACTAAATATTTACATCATTTCAAAACTTCTGAGGCAGCTGGATCACAAGTGAAGCTTTTGCTACCTTGTGTGCGATTACAGGTATGTATCAAACAACCTGAATCCAAGTTTGTTGAACCTGAGATGTAACTGCAGTACACTTGTAAGAAATGTCAGGTATTCTTCCTGATCTAAGGCTGATACCTTCTTTCTCTTTATAGCAAGGCAGTCTAAAGCTAAACACTTTTCCTCAAGCATATCCAGGTTGTACACCCTGAAAGAATTTGCCATGTATCCATCCCTGCCCTTTTCTTTACAAATTATTCTTCACTTTCATTTTTTAAACAAGCACAGGTTTATGGTGATTGATACTGAAGCATCTTAACTTCAGCCTTCCGTGGCCAAACACTCCTGCCTCCCTTAGGGTTGTTTCCTCTTGCTGCCAGCTCCCCTTTAAGGTAGCCGCAGTTTCCCCTCCCCTTGGTCATCTGTGCTGATCAACCACCATTCTCCAGCCTGAGGCATTTCTGGGAACAATAAACACTCAGGATGGCTCAGCTGCAGCACCAGGACTGGGAAGAGAATAACTACAGCTGATTAGAAAAAAAATACTGAGAAGGCAAGCTCTCTGCCCACAGCATTGCCCCTGGAGGCACAAACCAGGGTCTGCACAAAGTCTGCTACTGCTAAGAAAGAAAAACTATTGTAAAATGAAAGAGGGCAAGCACTACAGGTACTAGCAGAGCTGGCATGCAGCTCACACCACCATCATTGCTATGCTAGTCTACAAAGGCCTATCTACAAAGCTCTGCCTTCCCTGTCACAGCTGTATCTCGGAAGTCAAGAGCAGAAACAGTGATTCGCATACATCAAGAAAAGTAAAAATTCTTCGGGCATCCACGTTCTCCGCAGAGAGGCCTGGAGAGCTCACTCACGCAGCTAGAGGGAGAGAAACAGAACCAGCGTTAACAGCAGCAGAGCCATCCCCTGCGACAAGCCCTGTGTCTGCCTGTCCACCTGCCCGAGGAGCCTGGCAGCAGCCTCTGCACATCTCCAGCACCACCAGCAGTGCTGCAACTCTGCTGCCTGCTGTGCTGCACAGTTGCTGTCACCCCTCAGCCCCCCGTTCTGTGCTAGTGGCAGGGAGAGAGGGGGCACCAGTAGTCCCAGGGAACAGCATGGACCTGCCCCTGGCACCCAGCTGTATCCCCCCCTGCTGATGCTGCTACACTGGGGTGGGTCGACAACCATCAGCCCACCAGCCCTGTGCCTGCCATCCCCACACTGTGCTGTCAGCCTGCTGCAGCAGCACGCCACACAGCAGTAAGGCAGCGTGAGGGCTGGGCTCTTATGCTAGTGACCAGTTTCTGTGATAACTCAGTGCACTTGACCTCAGCTGAGTGAAGGGGAGGTCAGTGCTGAGTGACACTGCACAGTGACACTGTGCCTTGCTGCCTGGCAGAGAAGAGGGGTGCTGCACGAGGCAGCTGCCTAGTCTCGTGACACAGGGTGAGCTGGGCCCCTCTGCACGTTGCTGCCAACACTGTCTATGGCAAGGCTGCTGTGCAGGGGTGACCCACAGACCTGCAGCACCCCACAACTGGGTTGCCAGTGTTCCACAAGGGCAGCAGGCTCTCACATTTCATTCCTAAGTAGTACCTGGTCTTACTAAGTGCCCACACACAGAGGGGATTTCTTCCTCTCCCCTAACGGGTTAGTTACTGAACCTGGGGCAAACATCCCTAGCTTCTACCCTGGCTTTACTGCTAGCTGTTTAGTCTCCCCACCTACGCCCTGCAGCTCCAACAGAGCAAGCATGGAGCTGCCATTTCCCATTTGACCATGTCTCGTTGTTCCTCTGCTGGTGCTGTTTCTCAGTCCTCTTCCAGTTCTGTCAAGCTCTGGGGAGCCCAGGAAGACAAAAGCAGAGACCTCAGTCCCAAGACATTTGGGAAATACAGCCATCAGAGCTCAGGTCAGGCTTTCCTTCCCTGAGGGCATAATGAACCTGAGTCTTACTGCACAGGTCCCTGAAGAGACTGCAGGGAGGAGAGGAGCAATCACATCTCTTGCTCTCCCCTACAGAATAAATGCACTGGTCACTGGCTGCTGTGAGATTGGGGCAAGCAGAAGCTGTGACATATGCGCCTCAAGCCTCCCTCTCTCAGCAAATCAACTTTCAGAGCTCCGCAGGAACTGGCATTCCCTTCTGGCCAAACCTGCGGAGCACTACAGGGAAACTAGCAGATTTCAGGCAGTTCAGAACTAGGCCACCCCTCCGGGAATAACCTAGGCCAGCTAAGAGGCTGACTGTGAATCAAAATGAGCTGTTTGACAACACTCACCATTCTGACAATGTAGTTGTGGAGCTGCTGGCTGATGTAGTTCACAGTGGTGCTGAAGACACGATGGAGAAGGGAGGGCATTGTATTCGCAATTTTTTTAGTTAAGACCATTGCTAGCACCAACATGGCCTTCTCCTGTTCCATGTCTGAAGGGATGGCTCGTGCAAGCCCTTCCACTGCCTCTGACATGCGCCGAGTTATCTCCTGTTCGGCAGGAAGAGAGGGATCTCAGTGCAACAGCTGTGGGCGAAAGGAGTCTCAGCAGACCCTGCGGGGCCACTCTGCTGGTAACTGACTGCTTGTTCTAACACCTCACAGGATGCCACTCCCCTTCCTCCCGGCCACAGCAGCCTGTTTGTGCCAGCCACCCCAGAGGGCAATCAGGATAACTATGTTTGAGCTCTGCTGCTCACTCAAAAAAAAAAAAAAAAAGGGAGACAACACACATACCACTGGAAAATTTAGATAGCACCTTACACAGAGCGCAACAACCCCGCTCCCCCCCTCCAGGGTTTTCACCTAGCCTGTCAAGTCCTGAAATAGCACAGGAATCTTGGGGCTCACAGGAAAGGGCAGCCCACCTTAAACACAGCAAAGATCAGGGGCACAAGCTCAGGTGGGGACTGGCAAGAAGGCAAAGTGAGTTCTATAGAAAAGCCTTCACATAGGTGGGAGCTAGAGAAGATGTCCAAGCATGAACAAACACCACCTTGCTCCCAAGATGAGTTTCCCCAAGAGGCACAATGTACAAACACATGTACTCAGCTACACTACTAATGTGAAAAAGCAAGCTCCACCTGGTCAGAAATTAGGTTTGTCTGAGCCTTATCTAAGACTGAAAGGCTAGGCAATAATTTGAAGGCTCCAAACTTAACTGGGTGGAGAAC